GAAGGAGTTTGACCGAGTCGCAGGTCTTCTAAAACCCAAGGTAGCGCATTCCGACTAGTATTCCCTATGAAGTAGGTCACCACTCCGCAGGATACTCTGAACATTGAGGAAGAGACAGACCTCATCGTAAGCTTAAATAACCCGAAGAATTGAATTTAGCGCTTCGAAGAAATCATGTTGACCATGAGTGTACATCATACACGTGATGATGAATTATTCGAAAACTGTCAAACAGACAAGAATGTTAATTTCAACATCCCCGTACGCTCTTTTTTATCTCGTCTAAGAGAGATAAACGATTATGAAGTCACTATTTGATCTTTGCCAGTCCATGCTGTTGGGTCGTATCACGTTAATCCAGTAATCCGAGCGTTCTGTCGCTGAGTACGCCTTCAAATGTTTTCAACACCACCGATAGAAAGCTGCTTGGGTGATAATTTCGAGCTATTTCCCTTGAGCCTAATTTATGTTAACATTGTTTTCGCTATGGTTCAATCGTTTGGCGGTGCCGTCCTGACTTAAGAGTAATGGAGCAGGTGTACTAACGGATCTAAGGTCCTGTAAGCTGCCGAACGCAAAATGGTTGGGTACACCCAGTTTGGTGCAGCAGCCTTATATTCCTTTAGTTGTCCAACAACTAGTTATCCGTCTCTGCCTTGACTGTTACAGTTTTCATGAATTGACCTGGATTGATCTTTGGCAATGCAGGAAGCTGTCTACGTACGTCCTGTATGTTCGCTCGCTCCAAAAATCTTTTGAGGCCCTCAGTTTTCTTGTAGTTTGTATCCATAACGTTTCCTACTGCTTTGGATTTATCGTGATTATACTACACACCAAGTTACCGTGGAGCGTTGCATGCAATCTGGGTTTCGCACTCCCGTCAATCTAACCGTTGCATCCTGAGTATTTTCTCTCTGATTTTCAAGTAGTATACTGAAGACGCTTTCTCCTGTTGCGTAATGGTATTGCTATTAGACCAACCCGTTCCCGGTTGAACGCTCGGAACCCACAATCTTTCCCCAGTCCGCTTCCAGCGAGAAAATCACCCATATTAAGTAAGTTCCTCTCAGGTGGATACCCTAATTGAATATACCATGAGCGGAGCTTCCTCTTCGGGACTACATGGGGCTCAGTGAACACTACCGATATTCTCAGCTCCAGTATTTTCGGGTTGCACGAATGTGCCTAGATTTTACGCTTAGACGTACTGTTGGAAAGTGTCGGACACTAGAAGTATTGCACCTTCCCTTTTCCGTCCATCTTTCTTACTAGACCCGAGGTCACATTTCCGTTTTATCACTTTTCGGCCACCGTAATACAATTTATGTACTAATTGTGTTTAAACACGTGCCAAAAAATTCGGATCACTAGCCTTTCCACCGGTTACCGCTGTTTGCTTCACCTCAGTGTGGTTAATTTTGATTATTGTATACACCTTTGTTGGTTCTAAACAGGTGTCTTGGGCAACAATGACTCTTTCTCATCCTATTGGTCGCCTAAAAGTTATATTGACTGCATTTTTGTTACACTGCCCTTTTCCGTTTAAAGTCCTTGCTCCTCCTTGACTTTCTGCTAAAAAACGGTTCAGAACAAGTCCTATCAGGAGCCCGAGAACACATTTATGACATCAGAACGCTTGAGTCTTTCCATTACCATGACGAATATGGCAAAGATCAGGGCATAAATGGTGAGCTCTATTAGGTACCGTTCATTTTTGTATGCATGCATTTAAGCCGTTCGTATTTGCTCGGTCATTGAAATTGCTTATATCATTTGCGAATGGTTATCTTTCTACGACTTATTTTGAATGTACGTAAAATAATTCTAGTACATCAAACTACTTCAGCGTATTTAAAAAGCCGTCTTATTTTCACTACACCTGTTTAGTACTAACGGTTTACACTGTTTTCCTTTGAATAACAAATCCTTTTCAATGCACATTGTCGTTCAGTGTGATCGAATATCTTTTTTTCATGTGCACAATAATGCTCACTATCACGATCCCAATAGTTCTTTGTCCTGCTCACTGAAACGAATGATGCCATCAGTATTTCCACTGTTATTGTCTCAAACAAAATTTTAATTTATCCATGGTTCTCCTGATAAGGAGGAGTTAAGGATTTCATCAGTATCCAGCGATCAACGGTTGGTGTAATAAAAAATCATTGGTATTCGTAATTTATTCATGAAATTACTTAAATTTTAGTACGAATCAAAGTACAAGAGGTAATCAATCTTATCCAAGATCCGGACAAGTTGCGTGAAGAACGAGCGAAGGCAAAAACCAATCGTCACTTGTATACTGGTCTTGGAGGATCGGATAGAGGAGGTTGGTGTAGTTCCGACGATTCCTATTACGGAAATCGGTACGTATCATGTCAGTTCACTACTTTTTATGCTTTGAAGTGCAGTTATTTACCCATCACAAAGTAGAAGTGTGCAGTGTCTATTTTTTGCTTCAGGTTTAAATGAACACAAATCAGTACATGTGTTCTAAATCCATTAAATGGCACTAGATTGTAAGAAAAATACAGTAGCAAATGAGCTTAGTTTACGATGATTCATCTACAGGCTAATGCACCACAATTCACGTTAAAAATGTTCAACAGGTAAGGAGGAATCATGACAACTTGGCAAGAAAATCGACCAGTATTCCAGTTTCATAATCAGATGTTGCCCACACTTTGGTCATCACAAATACGCATTGTTTCGGGTTATTGGGGGCGGTCGGAGGGATGCCTGTGTCGTGTGTGGTGTTAGACATGGAAAGACCAGTGTTTTTACGAATTGTTTTGTATGAGCATATAGGGGGGGGGTTATGTAGGCGGATTTCGATCGCTTCCGCTGTCCAAGATGCCACACCTAATCCCCTTGGATCGACTAGATTGACTGATTCGTTTAGTTTTTGATCAAGTGAAAAGTTAGGGCATGAGAATGGTCAATTATGATGCTATTGCCTCCTTTTGTTTTTCGGACTTGGGTTGATCAATTCTTGGAACTTTGTTTACCGTTTCCGTTTTCGACACTAGTGGTTGAATTTAACATGTTTATATCCTTACTTCACATTCTTATCGTGAAGTTAAATGAATCTGTTCCAAAGGCAACGTTTCCGTTGTAGCATCTGTTCATTTCCTCTAAATGGTATACCCACTACTTAATCCAGATGCTTACTAAGGTGCACTGTTTCCCTTCAATCAAGTTATTTGAAAGGGAAAATAGAGTGAGGGTGTTACTGATATTTTACACTTTTACGATGTACTACGTTCCACAGAATATTTGAGCTCCTATTTCCATGATTGAATCTTTTCCTAGAAAGTATTTGAGAGTAATGTTTTGCACTGATTTGTTCTGTTAGCCTTCATTTATTTTCATACTTATATCAGGGAAACGTTCTCATTGAATTTCTATAATATCGAATACCATAATGAAATTTCGTCGGATTAATGAACACATGGCATGGATTGGGCTTTTGCCCTTCATCCAACTAGACAGCCAAAAGGCTGCAACCAAATGGTTGTTGAAACTAAACGGAAAACAGGGTTGTTTGCCCTCTTTTGACTTTCGCTTCTTATCGATTAGTACAACCTGATCAATATTTTGGATATTATTGTTCTACTCCGTTGGTTTTTTTAACGTCTAAAAATTTTCATGTTGTAGCTTCCTTCTGGTCGTTGTCTGTATTTCTTCATATTCTCTCTTTGTTTTCCGCACGGTCTCCTCAACGGTGCTGGGTCCTCTCAAATGCATGAAATCGGTTTGTTTATCGCACCGCTGTTTGTGCGGTCCCTCTACCTTGCTTCGTTTGATCTAATCCCTCGGCTTTTATCCCGTTGTGCGCTACTTTTGAAAAACAAACGATTAACAACTGCATTTTTGGCTCGATTTCAACGATCTGTCCATATCCCTCACTGCATATACTGCTGAATTTACTTACTCGAATTCTTCGCTCTATTGCTTTTTCATTTGTCACATCTGCTCTGTTGTCAAAATATTTTGCGCTCGTCTCGCTGCTTGCTGTTGTCACGTGCACGCAACGCAAAAACGCACGCATGCGCCTATTATTGCTCATGTATACTGATATCTTCATGTAGCTACGCGGATCAGGATTACGATAACTATGTCAGAGCACCCGATTCATCTCGTTTTGGCTCTGAGAAAGATTTCAGAATCCCACGTGCACCTGTACAACCTCCAGAACAAAGGTTGGGCGATTTCGATGAGTGGCATGTTGGTCGTGAGCGTGGCTTGGTTGATGACGTAATTGAACAAATTCGTGAAGCATGGGATGTTGCCAAGCTATCTACTAAGGACATATTTTTCAAGAAGGACTCCGATGTGAATATTCGGTACGCTTTTCGGTTCCATTTTTCATTCAACTTAAGAAATTTATTTTAATGGCTCATAAGTAAAGGGCTGGAATGGATTCATTTTCTCTCACTTCCTCTTCCTTTCTCTCTCTCTGGATCTACGCCCATTCAGCTCTTTTCCGTTAATTATCGAAAGAGGTTCTATGGAACATCTTCTGAGGATGCAGTATCAGGCACCGATTCAGAAAGCCCTATTTCTCATGTCTGATTCTTCCTTCTACTCTCGAAACACGCGAGATACCTGTTTCCGCCCCACAGCGTAAATCACTGAGTTTATTTTATATTATATTTCACACACGTCTGATGCCAGACGGTGTGCCAAACAAATAGTGGTACAATAATCTTTATAAAAAGAAAAACGCTCCACGATTTGCAAGTGGGCCGAATACTGCCAGGTTGCCCAGGCCAAGGCAGGTGAATTTTCCTGGGGAATCCACAGCCGGAGCGTTTGGCTATCCACAGCCTGACCCGCAAGGCAGCGGGGCGGTGCGCGAAAACCGAAATCCATTGGGTGCCGGTGTCCAGTTTATCGGATCATACGCCTTTCGGACGGGGTCAAACGTCCAAGGTGCTCAATACACCTCGATGCCTAATCGAGCCTCCCAAAGCCTCAGTATGGTTGGGGGTGGGGGTCTAGGGTTGCGGCTGGTCACCCTG